GCTCCTTCAAACAATGCTGCAACACGGAATCCACAGCATAAGGAGATCAAAGTCTGCTTTTTGCCCATGACATGCCACGAATGTTGCGGATTAGGTTTAACGCTGTTGAAGGAGGATGTGCTGGTGTTTGCTGACAAGGCAGAACACTTGTTAGGCTGCAGCGGACCCTGCAGCACTGCAGGTTGGTGCTTTCTTCAGCTTTACTAGATATCATGCCAAAAATTCATCTGGAGCACTGGATGGGGCACTCAGGATCACCAAGCATAAAACCAGATGCTACCAATACCAGGGCTGTTATGCCATCTCTCTCTCTGTCTCAGAGCTTTCCACTTTTGATTCTTCAGTTAGGAGTTTCAAAGCAAACTAAAAAGATCCCTGGGATTTAAGCCCCAAACTCCTTTAGATACCACTGAAAAGCTGTACACACCCAGCAGACTTCCACCAGCTTTGCCACATCACTCAGGGTTTGAAGACATTTAACCCTTGCCTGTAGGAGGGTTGCAGCTAAAAGGGATGCAGTGACACCGGTAATGGTTAGGGCTGCAGCCTGGGAAGAGGCTTCTCCCCAAGTACAGCAGTAGTCACAGGAGGGATCTGCATGAGACCAGCATGAGACAGGGCTGCCCTTCTGGCTACCCATCACTCACTGCTGTCTCTTCCCCCAGCCCACCGCAGGCTGTGTAAAGGCCACATAGTGGAAGCCCAAAAGCACAGGTTATGCTTGGACACTCTCACTGCTGCTTTACTCTATATTTATTTGCCCATATTACTCTAGAAGCACTGTTCATGCTTTCATGTGTGTGTGCAGATTTACAGATGCCTATAAAATCACACACCACATGGCAGTGATGAAAGTTTATTGGTCTTTCAGCATCATGGTCCTCAGCTTTGCCTGAGGCTGTATTGCACCCATGCTCACCCTGGACAGGCTAAGGAAAAAGGAGGCAGCAGCACCACGAAACCACTGGACCATGCTACAACATCTGTGCCTGCTCAACATCTGGAGGAGCTAATTAATAATATCAGAGCCTCCATTCCACCTGTGCTCTAGCAAAAACATCAGTCAAGGCAGCAGTAGCTGTGTGAACAGGATGGAGCCTGGCAGAGGGGGTACAGCCTCAGCCGAGGAATGGAGAATGGTCCAGCCTGGAGTTGCTGCAGCACATAATCCATCAGCCCAGGAAATACTAAGATGGGCTCCTGTTTGCTAGCAGAGATTTTCATTTTTGTCTCTCAATCTTTATCTAAATTTAGGAAGACACCAAAAAAATCAATGAAGTCTGGGACACATAACTGGAAACCATTGGTTTTTCCCATGGAAATGGAACATTTCCTGATGAATCTCCTGTCCCCCTGTGCCGTTCGGCTCTGGCTGCAAAATATTGCTGTGAGTTTATCAATCTGCGGCTTGTTTCATGCAGTTTGCAATGCTAATGAGTAAACCAATTTTGACATATTATGTAAGCCAGTTTCTGAAACAGAGATTCTTGGCAGGCCAAATGTAAACACAGACACCCTCTTGCATCCAATTTAAATGAGCATGTTGCTGAAAGCACTAAGGGCTTGATTCTGTTGACTTATTCCCGATTTACCCCAGTGAAAAAAGGAAAAAAATAGAGAAAAAAATAGACAAACAACAAACACCCCCCCTTTCAATTCCATTACTAGTGCAATTTGCAAAATGGATCTAATTTTGTAACAAGGAAATGTGCTGGAATAAGCTAATGCAGGGTGGTGACTCGGGCACTGTATGAGCATCAGCACAGCACACAATCAGGAGCACACATGTCATTCCAGATGGAGCTAATGGGGGAGATGACAGCTCTCCACTCCCTCATCCTCCCAAGCCAAATTTAGGTCCAGGTAGTGCCCCATGGGTTGAGCCGCCCCCAGAGGGTGACTGCTTTCAGCCTCCCTGCTCTTCTACATTGGCTTTGCAGAAGAACGTTGCATACCTGGGCAGCAGGCAAAGCCCAAGAACAGCATCAGGGTAGGTGCAGCCCCTCCTGCAGTTACACTGAGGTGGTGGGAATCCAGGGCGCAAGGGTTTATTTATCTCAGCATGCACTGAAGGTCTGCACTGCACCACACCAGTGCATGGCTGGGTGCTGAAACCCCATGAACCACCACTACCTGGCCCAAACCTGGCAACTGGCCCCACCACAGGCACATCTGGACACCCCGATTAGTGGATTATACCCAGTTCTTACAGAACATGATCCCAGCACCAGAATGATGTGATGGAAAGCATGGGCATCAGATGTCAGACTGCAACAACAAGCAGGGTGCCTTCCAGTGACATGGGGATGAGCTCAAGGGCACAAGCTCAGAGAGAAAGGAGGGATGCATTTGTAAAAGCCCCTAGAAAAGAAAGTTTCTACTAGGGAGATGAATGAAATTTTATTAAAGTGAGGAAGGGCTGGAAACAAATCTTTCTTTTGCACTTTTCCCAGTACCATCTGGAGCATTTGCATCTGCCACAGATTTGCACAGCATTTGCACAGCGTATTTCTGTTGAAGTGGAAGCAAATGGGATAGCAGCATACCTGGAAGTGGCCTCTGCCCTGTTAATGGCTCTGGGCATCTCCAGTGTGTTTTAAAACTAAAACATAAGTGTGAAGTTGAACTGTGTTGTTTCTGCCATTGCAGAGGAAAAGACATCAAATAAGAGGTACACTGCGCTGTGAGGTCAGGTGTGCTGCTGCAGAGCCTGTTTATTGCATGTGTCAGTGATCACACCAGGCACCAGAGCTGCAACACATCACCTCACACTCAATCCCCTTCACAACATCGGGATACCATTTATCATACCTGGCTCTTTCACATTATAAAATAAAAGAGAACAAGAGGAAGAATACTTTCAGCCTCCAAGCACCTGAGCTTTCAACGATGAGAGCAAACCTGAGAGCTCTTTCCTTTATTCTGTATAACACTTTCAAGCTGTGATCATAGGTAGCCCAAGTGCCACACATTTGCTGGCTCATCAAGTTTCACCCTGCAAGTTTGGAAACCCACAGCTGCCAAAGTAATTCGAGTTTTAATGGCATAAGAGAAAACTCACTTCTGTCTAGACACAAACAAAGGACAGTGCTTGAAAGGAGGGCAGCTGACAGCTAAGCATCACTTGTGATGTAAACGACAGGGAGATGAGATGCCTGCACAGCCCCTGCTTGTCAGCACACACCACAACACTGCGGGGCTTCAGAGGAGCAGCAAAGATTGGGAAGAGATGATGCCCCATAGGCTCTTGCTTGAATTAGTACAAGCCGAGCTCCTTGCCAGCTGACAAATACCCCCCTATCACTCACGCTGCCTTACCAGCACAGAGCCCGAGGTGGGAGCAAAGCCCCAAGCCAGATCACCACATCAACTCCCATCTCACCAGGGAAGTGAGGGCAGCAAGCAACCAGTATGCAGAGTGAGGTACCTCCCCCCCAGCAGTTCATCTACACACAGTCCGTTACAGTAACAGGCAGGCAAAAAGAGTACTTCAATTTCTAACATCTACTTTTTACTGCAATTTTAAATGATTTGGAATAACTCCTGTGGTTAGAAGTCTAGCTGTGATTCAGGGTAAGACAATTTGGAAAGCCCTCACTGTCCCTCCAAACAGCTTGCAAGAAGAATGCTCAGAAGAGTGTTACTGCCACCCACTTATTCTTCAGGCTTTCTGCATTTTTCAGCATTAAATGCTGTTTCTGCATGTCTTAAATACCAGACACTAAAAACATATAAAATTATAATCTGAAGGCCAAATGGGCACAAACTGGATGATAAAAACAGCAGGGAATAAAAGAGAACCAGATGAATTTCTATTGTAATTTTTATAGCTATTTAACAGGAAGAATGAAAAAATCTAATTACTGTCAACTATAAGTTTTCAGCTTCCCAGCCAGCAGAGCACTATTATTAAACTGCTGTATAATTGCTTCTTTTACTCTGCTTCCCACAGAAGTTGTGTTATTTCACTCATAGTTAAACTCATAATATTGGCTTCATAACTAATCCTGTCAATCGAAATCCCCAGGGGCTGGTACAGAGACAAAAATAGCAAGAGGTTGTTTCTTCCCTCAGCTTCCTCTCAAAGCCCCTTTCTGCAGGTACCAGGGCTGCAGTTTAGCAATGCCATGAACTGTTGCACCCAACAACACGTGAATGCTGCTTCTCTGGCTCAAGCAAAGCATGGAGGAGAGGGACAGATCCTTCCAGCAGACAATTCTGTCCCCCTGTCCTGGATAGGATAAATCCTGTCCATCTCTCCCTGCTGATACGGGCAGCTCAGGTAAGATGTTGCACAGCTGAACATTACCTGCAGCCCAGATGTGACTGCCTACCCTGGGACTTCATGCCAGCACTGACTTGCATGAAAAGCATGGGCTTCCTCCTTCCCCAAACACTATGCTCTGACACATATAAAACCACATTGAGACACCCAGCTACGTGTTCAAGCACTAAAGATAGGCAATGACTTGATCTTAAGGGTCTTTTCCAGCCTGAATGATTCTGTGAGATGAGCACAAAACTGTGCTCACTTAATTGAGGAGATTGCATAAAGCACCAGCCTTTTACCCATCCAAGTTTTGTAAGCTCTGCCTGAGCCCCTGCTTGCTCCCTGTGCACTGGACTGATGCTCCTTGCTAACTCCTGGTCCAGTTCTTCCCTGCAGAAGACCCAGGCAGGGTCTCTTGCCAGAGCTTCACATGGCAGCACATCCTCCCTGCCCAGAGGAATGCTCCTATTGCCCAGGACACCATGAGGCCAAACTCACTGTTTAGCTCAGGTTTGGGATGAGGTACAGGGCTGGAAAGGGTGAGAGAAGATGGATTTGGCTTCACACCCAGACCTTCCATCTCAGCCTCTGTCTCTCTGGAGACAGCAACCCTGTGCTGGGGTTGCTCTCTGGTGGGCACACACAGAAACTGCTGACAGCTGGCGAGGAACAGATTGGAAACAGCACTTTTCCCAAAGCAGCACTTTTCCCAAAACAGCACTTTTCCCAGAGCGAGAGCTCGGCGTGTCCATGCCAGAGGGGAGCCAGCACCAGGGCTCTGCACGAACCTGAACCAGCTCTGGAGTCATCGCGCTTGCTACATCCTCATCACAAACTCAGCCGCCGCTAGAGCCACTCTCTTTGCTGTGACTGATGTGCAGCGTGACAGCACAAAGCACACCGATGTGTCCGTGGGGAACACTGCTTCAGCTGAGGTGTTTTCCTCCTGGAAGAGCCATCACCCTGACTATTACAGCCACAGGCAGCTAATACTGCACGGAGCTGTGGTACTGCAGCCTTCACTCATGGTCTGGAGCTGGAGCCAATCTTGGGATGGACCATCTCCCTCACCCCAAAGCACAGAGGAACCAGCCTCAGCACACTCTGCAGCCATACGGGAACTATTGCTGCCCACACAAGCCTGAGACACCCTGCCAGCACCAAAGAGGGATCCCAGGGTTAAAAAACCCCTCTGCGTGCACTGGGGGAATGAGTGTGCCCTGTGCAACCCCTGCGGGAGCACAGCTCTTCCCTGAGCTGCATTATTCCTTCCTCTCTCCATCACTGTAGTCTCTTTAATGTTTGAGGCAAGAGGATAGAAAATCATTTATGCCATTGCCTGGGCTGCCAAGCGGCACCACGGTGCCCTCAGGAGAACCAGGAGAGCTCCCAGCAAGCCCAGCCTGGAGAGTTCTGGTGTTCCCAGGGGCTGGAGCTTAGGCAGGGGGCAGTGTGTACGACTGCCTCCCAAGAGATGGTCCTCACAGCCTGCAGACAGCAGGACTAGATCCCTGGAGCCAGCAGGGCCCGTGGGACTGCCTTGGCTGACACAGCTCCCAGCAGCTCCTGAGATATAAAATAAACATGGCCTGATGCAGTGCTTGTTTTCTCACCCATGGTGTTAGTGCAAATAAACCCTCAGGCTGATGGATCTCCTAACCCAGAAAGCTGCAGAGACCGAGAGAAACTGATACAGCCAAAGTTACCGTGCCGATGGCTCCATCAGTGAGCTGCCAGCCCCTGGCCAGTGGGCAGAGCCTCCACATCTGCACCAGACATAGAAAGAATGAAGGAGGGAAGCACCAACATGCCAGGGCTGAAGCAAACCCATTTGCAAGACTGAGAACTACCTCTGTGTCCAAGTACAGAATGAGAAGAGAAGAGTAAACACCAAACAGAAGTTACTGGGCACAGGAGCAACAAAAACTGCTATAGGAACAAGTGCTGGTGATGGCACAGCATGCCGAGAAGCTCAAAGCATCAGAACAGATACAGTCACATCAGCCAACCTGCCTCTACCAGAAGTGACAATGCATACCTCCTCTTTGGATGCTCAGCCAGGTCCTCAAGGAGAACATGGCAAAGCAATTGCTCTTATAAACACAGGCCTTAATATCTAGATGAACATCCCTGGGGTCCGATTCTTCAAAGCCTCAAAAACTGTCAGAGGTTCCTGATCTTCCTCCATCTCCCACAGACTCAGCTGCTCATGGTGTGTCCCTTTAAACTTGTCAACTCTTCATCCTCGAAGAGGAGGAACAAGAGTCCCAGGCTACCCTGTGCTCCTCCTGAAGTGGCACAATGCATTTTGACGACTTCCCATCAACCAGCAGCAGATCCTTCAGGAGGAATCTGGAAGAAGAGAGCACAGGCTGCGTAAGCACTGGGTAAATCAAGGCAAGCCCAGCTTTCAAGTTTGCTCACAAGTCTGAGCATGCAAGAAAATGTGTGCAGCATCTCACTAGTCCCTGAATTAGATAAAAGGGTAAAAATGTATTTCAATTGACTCATTGACCAGGGAAAAAGGAAAAAAGCGCATTCCTGCTTCCATAAGATTTAATTAGGCATGGGATTTTAGCTGCAAAAAGCAAAGCATTCATCTTGCCACCTGCTTTTTATTGAACATAGTTCAATCAAAGAGGCCTAAATGCCTAGAAAGTTCAATCAGCTTTCCTAGATAGAAATAATTAAGGAATGCAAGGGTTGTCGTGTTTGCACTTCAGAGGGGAGCCTTTCCTTTGGCAAATTGTATAGCCCTGGAAACATCCAACCCACCAAAAGTTTTCAACCAGATGTTAGCCCAAGGCTTGTTCCCAGATGTGGGGCACCCCACTGCTGCAGCTCCCCCAGACATGCAATCCTTCCCCTGCCATGCAGCTACACCTGTTATGGAAACGAAGCACAGCTGCTTTTGACAAGGTCACACCATGCGACAGGCACGCCAGAGGAGCTGCTTGCACGTGCCCATCTCACGGTGCAGAACACTTGCACTTTGGCTCTGTAATGGATCGACTTCTAGTCACACCCAGAGAAGTAGGCTGTTCCCATGTAACAAGACCAGGAATCACTAAAGAACCTCCACATGGAGAAGGAAGTTGGAGGAAAGTGAGGGGTTGGCCATCTGGAGATTACACCTCTTCAATCGACGCCCAGGCAGACAGTGCAAGACCAAGAAGGTGGCTATGCCACTGTGCTGGGTATCTATTTAGTTCTGTTTGAGACAAGCTGACCACTGAATGTCATGAGGGTATCTTGTATGGTCCCCATGCTCAGAAAAATCAGTCATTCCCCTGATAGCAAGTAACATTGTTGATGTAAAAACCAGGCAATATCTTACCTGAATCATCAGCAGCAGGGGTCTTCCAAACACCAGCTCCAGGAAAGTCAGTGGTGATGTACTGTATTTCCCCTGCGAATGAAGGGGAATGGTGCATTTTTAAGTCTCAGGTTAGGCAGCTGCACAAGTGCTTTAGGTGGACCTTCCCTGTGGATCGCAGAAGACTGTGCTTGTCCAACCATCGGAGGGTTTCTGTACAAATCAGCTCATGGTGCTTGGGCTTGTGCATGGTTTTGTGCGTATAAGATGCATTGAAGTGTTTGTTGTTATTTCTCGAAGTGAGGAACCCTTAGGAACACTAAAACGGGTTTGCATGGAAGACAACACTGCTGCACAGCAGCCATTTCCAGTAAAGTATTCCACAAAAGGCTGTGTGTCCAGAGCACGCCTGTTAGGAATTTATGCAAATCTATTCTACAAATAATCTCGACAAATAATGCTAAGAGTGAACTTGAGCTGTGACTGTCTGAGATCGAAGGTGTTAGTTAGGTTATCAGACACAGTGGGTGGCATGTTAATGAGTTCACTTCTTAACTAGTGGGTTTAAGTGAGAGGCTTGATCTACAACTGAAAGAAAACACTGAAAGGAAAATTGAATTTTGAGCACAACAGCTATTCCTGAATAGATTTGAATATGGGCATTTGTTTTATCGCAATGCCTACATAAATTCGCATGGAGCAACTGTTTCAGAGTAGCCCTGTGTATGGACAAGCCTGTGAAATTAGGTTTCTGGTCTAAATATTAAAATTGAAATGCCTGCAAATAACATAAAATAACAGTCTCTTACAAAATCACTGCTTCCATGAATTTTACTGGCATCACCTTTGTTTATCTGTGCAAGAAGGGGAGGAAGCATCAGACAGGCCTGAAAGCCAGCAAAATAAACTGTGAGTTGTTTTCAAGAGGACTGCTTGTCTCTCAGTTAAGAAAATGCACCAGGAGACGGAAGAACAGGTGCATGTCCCATCTCTGCCATGGTCTATTTTTTCTATGCAGAAAAGCAGGATGTGTGTATCTTGTACCAGACACAAAGCATTTTCCCTTCCTTCAACCGACACACGTTTTTCCTGAGCAGTTACATCAAACCACTGATAGCTCGTTGGATTCTACTGGAGCTTTGTTTTACTGTAATTGCCCTTGTTTAAAACAAAAGTACCTTCTCTCTTCCTTAAAGCGATTAGAAATGTCATTCACATCCCCCTCTGGATGTGAATCTAGCTATTCCCAACAGCCACTCAAAAAATACATAATCACCATAATTACTAGAGGCATCTAATTAACATTCAACTTCCTCCCTACAGCAGCTACAGCTGGACAGCCCATTTACTTCACCCTAAAACTAATGCTCTGCTGATTATTTCCCATCACACCAAGCAGCCCACCTGTGTCCATCCTCACTGACGTCTCCATCTGGCACAGCAGTGAGGCAGCAGAATGAGCACCTCTGCATGCACTGTGTGTGCTCAGCCTCACTAACAAATGACCCCTGCAAGCATGGAGACCTTCTCCTATTAACTATGCAGCTGCTGACTTTATTAGCTGCCTTGACTAGGATTCACATGCAAAAAAAATGGAAAAAAGAAGAAGAAAAAAGGTAAAGGAGCTGCCTACACCAAATGCAAAACATCCCCTGGTTGGCACCATCTCTGGGGCAAAAGACTGCAGCCTTCCCAAGGTACTCAGTGCACCAGGTTTGTTGCCATAGGAGAGGGCAGAGGACAAAAGAGCCCATAAAATACATGTGCCTCAAGTTCCTGAGGATGCTGGGGGCTATTTGCCCCTTCCTACATTTGTGGTCCACCCTGAGTGAGCAGCTGAGCAGGAGGGCTCTGCCTATCTGTGTGCTGCCTTTAGCTGGGGTGCCACCCTGTGCTCACACCCAGGCCATGACACAGTCCAAGAGCTGCCAAAATTCACTCCCATCAGCTGGAGGCAGTGGGGTCAGGCTGGGCACGCTGATGGCCCCAAACCCTGGTGCTGGTCTCCAGGCTGGGGCAAACCCTCTGCTGTCACCTTCATTCTCCCTTCCTGGCCATTCTGTAGCAGCAACAAGATGAAAACTGCTCAACCCAAACATTATTCTATGAATAAGGACAGATAAATCAGCCTGATTTTATGAACTGCCCAGAGTTCAGGCACTCATTTTGAATAAACCAAAGTACATATAAATCCATGGTACCTCACTTCAGTCTACTTCTAGTCCTTTTCTGTAGTGGATGGGGCTTAAAGGAGCTAATCAGACAATTGCTAAATTCTCCTTTATTCTGCAGACAGAATAAAGGAGATAAAAAGACATCACCCCTCTTGGTAGGAAAAGTAATGCCTGCTGCTGCCATCTAGATGAGCTCCAACTCATTAGCTTTGTTTCTTCCCAAAACTAGGCTAAAAACTTATTTTCTCTTTGCTCACGCTTCTCCATTTCCCTCTCTCTTCACTGTTATCTCTGTACTTATATTATTTCAGCCTGTAATGACTGCAGCACTAGTAGGAATGATGCCCTGCAAAATTACCTTGCCTTTGCATTCACATTTAAGCTTTCGTCATGACACTGATCAGATATATAAAGGGGGATAAGAAGGGAACCGGCAGTTACCAGGGAAGCTCTGGCTGAACGTTTCCTGATCTCAGGAATTACTAAGGCCTCTGTTTCCCTTCTCCCTGCTTCCGTTTGTCAGCTTTGCAATGAATCTCTCCAGATACTAAGAGGTCTCTACTTATTCCAGCCACCAAAGGTCATAAAACCCAGTGACAGAGTATTTACTCCCAGTCAAATTTGGCTAAGACAGACTAAGGAAGCTCAAAATCTATGGGGAGCAGGAAGGAGCTCAGATTCTGTATCTTTACTTGCTTCAGAGGTGAACAATAAAAACACAGAAAATCAAGAGTTGTCATAAATGGTCCAAGTTTCAAGAGGAAAAATAAAGTAAAAGATAGTAAAATCAATGCAGATTGTTGGGCTGTTTATGCATAGTGAAGCAGTTATGGGTTTGATGCCACCATAAGAACTGCAAATTCCAGTTAAGCTCAGAAATTCAGCATCTTTAAACTCTGCATGAATTTCCCCCCCATCATCACCCACTGAGTGGCAAAGTGCCTCCAAATTGAATTGTCCAGCCTTCCCCAAACGGATTTCCAGCTCCACAGAAGATGATCTCATCTTGGGAGCTGCCTTATGAAACATTTTAGACAAGGCTATAAGCGGATGATCAAAGTTTATGAAAACACCCTAGCTCTTACCAGTGCAAATCAAGCTAAGATGGACCAGAGAACTGAAGCCTCGGTGTTTCATAAATCAAAGAGCTGCCTGTGTGCTCTGCTGGCTGTCCAGAAGCACTTGTGTTTGAAGGACTAACTGCACGCTGGTATATTTTTCTTTGCTGTTTATGCAGAAAAGAACTCAACAGAGTTATCAGAAAGATGCCAACAAAACCCTGTTAAGGTTGCCCAAGTGAACCATTTGCATCTTATTATCTTCCTGATGCAAGCCAGGTTTGCAGACTCGTGAGCGCACCCTGCCCACCATCCCACCCAGCAGCTCCCAACACTACTGGGCTCAAACCTCCTGCTGCACAAGGGTTCTTCAGGGAAAGGCACCCAAAAGCATCAGAGGCAAAAGAGCCCCTGCCAAGCCCTGAGGTGCACAACCAGCCTGGCAGAGGAGGAATGGTGATGATGCCCTGAAACTCCTCTGCCACCGCAGGGACTCAGCAGTGCCACCTCTCACATGTAGCAGGCCTGGCTCCTTCATGCGTGCTCCCATGGCCAAAGAGGAGACGTGGCTTCTGACAGAGGCTGTTGCTGTCAAGCCACATGTAATTGTTGATCAAAAGAGCAGGCAGCCGCTTCTTTGAAGGCAGGAGCTGGCGGTGCTGCGGAATTGGACAAAATACATCAGAGCAAAGAGAAGCATGAAGCATTGAATCCCAGCGGCCTCCCCAGCCCCTGGCTAGCACTTGTAGCTCTGTATTTCAGCTGATTAGACTTGGATCTGCAGGGCTCAGCCGAGATGCTCTGCCAGCACACACAGCCCTCACTCTGCTGTGCTAGCCCATTTGAAATGCCAACAAAGCAGAAGAAACCAGCTCTTCCCTTCTCACATTAGCCCTGGAAGCAGCACGTTCTGCAATGCAATGCCCTGCCATGCAACCCTCATGACTTGCTTGTGAGCAGTGGGGCTAAGGAAGCACCATGGAGCTGCCTTTCCAGTCCTCCCCACTGTGGGTTCTCTGGTGTCCATAAAAAGTTGTGCAAACGCTACCTCTACAAGGACTCTCAGCAGGGGCAGTTGTGGGAATTGTGGGGTTTCATTTATTTATTCACTCTCACAAAACTTCCAGGAATGCAGGCTCTTTGAAACCACCCTGTCCTCTTGAGTTGAAGCTGGCCAGCAGGTTCAAAACGCACCCGTGTACCTTGTTGGGGTGATGGTTGCCAGCACCACGCAAGCTGAGTTGCAACCAGATTATTTCAGCTGATGCTTAAAGACAGACAATAAAGCAAACGTCCCCTTCGAGCTAATGGCCTTCTCCAAAAGCCAACCAGGTAGCAACCCCTCACTTCAGAGCTCAGCTAGCACTTGCCTGCATCCCTAATTGCATTTTGTCTCCTCTTGAGGCAATTAACTCCGTACCCACCCTCCGACACTGTCCCACTCCGAAAAGCAGTTCCCATTTTGCTGGCACAGGGCTCTGCATTTGAATCTCAAGCTTCCGTTCCTCTACAAAGCTCTGCATGTGTTTGCGTCTGGGCACATGTTTTCTCACCCTGATGAATTCATTATTTATGGGGCTGAAAGAGCAAAGCTGCTGAAATGGCTGTTCATCATTTAGCTCTTCTATATGTCTCTCAAAGGCATAACAAACATTATGGGAAAACAAATAGCAGGCTCAATGGGGTTGCTTCGGGGAAAATACAGAAATTACCTTATGGATGCTGTGCAGGGGATATGCCAACATGTGCCATGCTCCCCGTGCCTGGCATGGGGCTAAAGCCCTTCTAACGGAGCAGCTGCCTGGTTTCAGCACGATGCGCAGAGCAGCCCTGGACTGGCTCTGATCAGCGTGCTCCAAGGGATGCCCTGGGTGAGGCGTGCTCCCAGGATCATCGATGTGCTCCGGTTTAACAGATTCGGGAAGCGGCACTAGAGGGCAGAGCTGTTTACCCTCAGCAGGTCCGAGACAAGGGAAAAAGCATCCTGAATTTCAAACAGCGTCTGAATTCTCCGCAGTCCTGTGCAACAGCAAAAGCCTGTTAATACGCAAAATCCACACAACATATTTCCAATTACAAGTGACAAGCACAAGCATTAATGAGCCAACGGAGAGCCTGCACTTATTTGCTTTGACTGTCTTTATTAAGATGGGAAGACCTCGGTGTGTGGAGCAGCCCTTGCCAACGCAGCAGCAGCACTGCCAACCCTGCTCCTTGCAATCCAGAGTGCACAGGGCAATACAAATAACCTCCTCAGCAGGGACATAACAAAGCCTGCTTTCCTCCCAACACTGATGTTCTTAAAAAGGCCTTACTCATCAGGAAGCTTTGATCACAAAGACCCAAAACCGTGGTCCACACTGACACTCTGCTGCCCAGCATCTCAACAGATGATAAATGCTTCCAGACAGACAAAAGCTTTCCAGGGTTTATTTAACTTTGGTTTTGAGCAGATGAACACAGAGCACAGGAACCCCTTTAGGTGGGGAGGCAGGACTCTGAGGGCACATTACCCTACCACTACAGCTGCCAGACCTCAGACTGCTGAGCCTAGCTCAGGAAGGATGAGAGGGACTGTAATTCTCAAACCTGGGACACTCATGCTGTTATACACAAAGGCTTTTGGACAGGTATATTTTGATTAGATTTAGGTACATTTAGGATAGGTGTAGATTAGATACCAGGAAAATATTAGGGACTGTGTTCGTGCTCTCCTGTTTTTTTTTTTCCTGCCCTGCAGAGAAGGACTTGGGGGTGCTGGTCCATGAGAAAATCAACATGAGCCGGCAGTGTGCGCTCACAGCCCAGAAAGCAACCGTATCCTGGGCTGCATCAAAAGGAGCGTGACCAGCAGGTCGAAGGAGGTGATCCTGCCCCTCTACTCTGCTCTCGTGAGACCTCACCTGGAGTATTGTGTGCAGTTCTGATGTCCTCAACATAAAAAGGACATGGAACTGTTGGAACAAGTCCAGAGGAGGCCACGAGGATGATCAGGGGACTGCAGCACCTCCTGTATGAAGACAGGCTGAGAAAGTTGGGGCTGTTCAGCCTGGAGAAGAGAAGGCTGCGTGGAGACCTCATAGCAGCCTTCCAGTGTCTGAAGGGGGCCTATAGGGATGCTGGGGAGGGACTCTTCATTAGGGACTGTAGTGATAGGACAAGGGGTAATGGGTTAAAACTTAAACAGGGGAAGTTTAGATTGGATGTAAGGAAAAAGTTCTTTACTGTAAGGGTGGAGGCACTGGAATGGGTTGCCCAGGGAAGTTGTGAATGCTCCATCCCTGGTGGTTTTCAAAGCCATGTTGGACAGAGCCTTGGGTGAGATGGTTTAGTGTGAGATGTCCCTGCCCATGGCAGGGGTTGGAATTGGATGATCTTAAGGTCCTCTTTCCTGTGAGGGTGCTGAGGCGCTGGCACAGGGTGCCCAGAGAAGCTGTGGCTGCCCCATCCCTGGCAGTGTTCAAGGCCAGGTTGGACACAGGGGCTTGGAGCAAGCTGCTCTAGTGAAGGTGTCCCTGCCCATGGCAGTGGGTTGGAACTGGATGGGTTTTAAAATCATTTTCAACCCAAACCTGTCTGGGATTCTATATAGTCACTTGCTGACTTTTTTATTGCACATTGCTGGTACTGACAGCTCCCTGAGATGTGGATGCCAGCCCTTAAAATCCCACTCCAAACCACTTACAAATCCTTTTCTTATTATTTCCCCAGTGCACACAGTGTGCTTTATTATTGTCAATACCAGTTATCCTGTGGAGTTGGGAAGCAAAGGATTCTTGTGTCAGAAAGTCACTGCTTGTTCCAGAACATGAGGAACAGTTCACAAAGTGCCACAGTGTATTGTACCCCAGCATCCAGCTCCATTGCCTTCATAAAACACTTCATAAGAAAATCTCTCCTGAGAGGGGGGGGGAAAAGCCTGCAAAACATAGCTCAGAGCACAGTGCATTAATGGCTTAGGCAACAGCTGGCTACCTTGATAGCATGAAAAAGTCCATTATTAATAAAGGGAAGGACAAAAGTAATAATTATATTGGTTTCACAGCTCAGTCACATTGTGCCCCTTGACACAGTGGCTTTACCCCACTTCTCTTCCTCCTGGGCACACCCTGAGCCTCCTTCCTTGCAGAGGAAAATACAGAATAAGGCAGCACATTGAGTTATTTTTATGCAGAATTTGGTTTCCACATCATCATAACAAAGAGGGTTGGAAGGAGCCGCAGAGCAGTGGCCAGGCAGCCCGTCACCCTGCCTGAGGCAGGGTCAGCTCTATCTGTGCTGGCAGATGTTTGTTTGACTTCTGACCCCCAGTGACTACAACTCCACAACTTCCCAAGGCAAATCTATCCCAGTGCTTCTCCATCCTCATCTTAAAGTTATATATCCCATAATACCATTTCTTCTCATCTATCCTGGTTTACCAACCAGCAAGGACATAGAGAACTGCCCGTTCTCTTCTTTTCTGAAGCAGCCCAGGAGAACCCACACAACATGAGCTTATCTCCTTGCAGTTATCCTCTTGACAGTAAACAGCTTTAACACCACAGCTGCTCTCCCCAAAGCTTCTATTCTCAGCCCATTTTTGCTGCACATTTCTTGGCTTAGTTTCCCCAGTTTTCTCTTCTTTTGAGGATAAAGCCCAAGTATAACACTTTCACAAGGTCTAACCAGCACAGAGTAAAAGAGGAAGAATTACCTCACCTCCCCATTAGGCAGCTCTCCCAGCTTGCTGTAACTATCTGGCATATATTTACAGCCAAACATACCTATTTGGCTGCTTTGCCGAAGAATACTTGTTATTGCAGTCTATGAAACATCATGTCATAACCAAAACTTTTCCTCAGACCTCCCCTCCCTGCAGAATTCCACCCCAAATGTGCTGTTCCTGAATCTCCTCAAAGGATGCTTAGATAAAATCAGATGTCTCCAGATATTTCCTCAGCATCAAGTCATCCCTTAAATTACCTTAAAGGGCAGCCTCTCTTGTTCCACTGGCTGCATAAAGCCCTATCAAACTGCACAGCACAATTTAAACATCTTAAAATCCCCTGATTCCATCATTCACTGGTCACTTTGGCTGGTGCAGGTCTTCAGTCGTACCCCACATATGAGCAGGGGTTGTGCTGCAGAGAAAGGCAACAGGAAAGACAGGCCTGACTTACACATCACATGTTCTGCTTGCCTCTGCACCAGCAGCGTTAAAAATGCTGCTGCTTCTGCTTCTCCTTCTCCCTTCCTTCCTGCCTTCCTTCAAAGCTATGGCTGAATGAGACTCTGCAAATATGATTAATGACAGACTCTTACACTTTGAGTCTGGTTGACCTGAGCTCACCTGCACTGACTTTAGCACGCAGGGTTTGGTGATTTAACTTCATGCTCACAAACCCCAAATTCACCACAGGTGTGGCGAGGCTCCTGCTCAGCTCATCCATCACCTTTCATCCTTCCCTCAACACCTGGCAAAGCACAGGCACCTCTGGGTTTGTGCAAAATGTGAGCCATGTTTAGATTTGCAGATAAACTCCCTTCACTCCTTTTTGTGTATGGACAGTTTGTCACTTAAACTCTTCTTTAAACAGAGTTGGGCAGAGCACTAAGATGGATATTGTCCCTGTTTCCCAGATAATTACTAACAAATTACTCCTGGAAAGCAGCAGCTGTATACTCATATTAGATACATCAGTTTCACCAGCTGCATGGTCTGTGGTTGTCCAAAAAGGACTAGCTCCCTATCAAGGGAAACGCAGAATACATGCACCCTTGCATATAATAAAATGAAGCCAGTCGCATGGTTTAACCCCAGCTGACAACTAAGCATTATTCAGCTGATCAGTTGCTCCCCTTTCCCCAGTGGGATGGGGAGGAGAGTCAGGGAAAACAAAAGGTAAACCCCACGGGTTGGGATAAGAACAGTTTCATAACTGAAATAAAATAAAACATAATAATAGTAATTGTTATGAAAAGGGAGATAGCAGGAGGAGAGAGAGGAACAAAACCCAAGAAACACAAGTGATGCACAGCACCACTGCTCACCACTGTCTGACTGATGCCCAACCCATTCGCAAACAGTGGCCAATTGCTCCTGGCCAACCACTCCCCCCAGTTCCTATATTGAACCTGACATTCTATGGTATGGAATATCCCTTTGACAAGTTTGGGTCAGTTGTCCTGGCTCTTCTCCCTCCAGGCTTCTTGTGCTCCTCCTCTTTGGCAGAGCATGAGAGAATGAAGCACTTGACATACGGCGAGCACTACTAAGCAACAGCTAAAACATCAGTGTGTTATCAATATGACTTTCAAACTACACCCAAAACACAGCACTGTACAAGCTACTAGGAAGAAAATTAACTCTATCCCGACCAAAACCAGGGCAGCCAGACAAGGATTAAGATGCATTACAAAGATAATATTGGTCCAATGTCAATGACTAAGACTGAGCCTGGTTTCAGCCACCCTCCAGGCTTTTAGCATGTAGCAGCTCTTGACTCTTGCCCAAGTACACCTGCCAAACCTGCTTGTATCCATTTGCAGCAACTCCTATGGTGGCTGTGCAATAAAATACCTAATTCGCACATGTAAATTCTCATAAAAACCATAAAGACACAATTAGCTTGGACAATTTTTCAGTGCATGCTCAGAAGCTGCTTGACAATTTAATCATTCTAAAGCACCCTTTTTGTCACAGGAAAACTGTGGCCTGTCATGAGGTTATAAATAAAACACATACAAATTACTATCTGAGGAGTCTGAACATCAAAGCCGAAGAACACCGAGGCCTGGATGGATTTAAAATCAAAGCAGAGCTGGCATGAATCAATAGTGGTAAAGAAGAAACTGCAAACAATTTAATGCATGAATCCCTATGTGTGTGTATTTGGCTATATATAGTATCATATTAAATGTGACTTGTAATACATTCTTGTGTAATGTTTAGGCATAGCTGGCCATCCAGGAGGAGCTTGTACAGGGAGTCTGCAGGTGCCATTTCACACAGTAGTTTTGGAGCAGGCTGTGCCCATCCTTACCTATGTGATGCTTCCTATGCTCGTAAAGGCTGCTTTTCCTGGTGCCTGTGGGTGCAGCCAGGGTTGCACCCCATGGTGGGAAGGAAAGGGACCAAGCTCGGGGTATCTGATGCAAAGGACCTGGGCATGTAGCAGGAAAATGTGCCCTTGCAAAGCAGCCTCATAGGGCTGCTGCAAGGCAGGTGGCAATGGGTAGTGGGAGCTGCAGATGCACACTCCTCATGTGTTCCCCAGCAGGTCAGCAGCAGACATCAAACTGCTCTCTCCACACCCCTGGGCTGTTCCCTCTATCATCTCTCAGCCTCTAACCTGCAGCTCACTTCTTGTGTCTCACAAGTATTTTGGAAGAGCTCTCTTACTAGTTAGGGGATAAAAAGAGGTTAAAGAATATCTGCTGTGACATTTAAAAGCTGACAATCACCTGCTGCAAATCCATGCAATTAACAAAAACACTTCTCTTCTGCCAAAAAAGTATTTTCAATTTCAGGAATACCAGTTTTAATATGTTTCATATGAAAGGAAAGAAAGTTGCTTTATTTGTAATGTAACTATTTGATTCTCTTC